TTAAGTGTTAAAGATTTCTCAATCTTTGATCAGTTTGTTGTATCTCTGATGTGAATGTAGCCAAAACCCCTCTGATAAGGGACATAAAGCTGAACTGTGTAATAAAATATAGCGCAGATGGGCTCCATTGAGTCTGTAGCCTATTTCTTCAAAAGACCATGGGTCTAGAGTCACTAGACCCTAGGGTCTTGGTGAAGATCCACAGATGGGGGATGTGCAGGGTGGGTACCAGAACTATAACTGATAGTATCTCAGCCTAACACCAGCTGTGATGTTGCACCTTAAAAGCTAGAACCCAACTCATTTTTGGTTGGTTACCTCACTAGCTCATCCTTGCTCTCCAACTGAACTGGCAATCTGACCCTTTCCAATCAAGTGACTGCAGACAGCCTGAGTCAGGACCTAAACTTTTCTCCAGGTCTGTAAACTGTCTGAGACAGAAATGTTGCGTTTGCAAATCCACTGTTTTTTTCTCTCGAACAAAATAAGGCAGTTGGGCTCTTATTGTTGACATCTTGAATAACTAAGCATATTCAGTACCAAGCTATAACCAGAAGACTGTGTTCACAGGCTGTTACTTTTCAAGACCGGAGTTTAACAATATAACTTCTGTCAGAGCTGCTTGATGGCCAACTCGAGCTGCTGAAGACCAATGCTAGGCAAAGCTTTCTCTCTTCTCTCTGCACCCAGGACACCCCCAGGACGGAGTAAGCAACTCCCAAGTCGGATCACGGACCAACTGAGCCAAGCCTTGTCCTCTCAGCTGGAAGTATGGATGTTTGACCAACAGATCTTTGAGTATAAAATTTTTAAATTCACATTATAATTCATGAGAGTTAAACTATTATCCCAAACACGTTTCATGTTTACTTAAAACCATAAATGCATATTCACATGTATCGGCGAATATGAATTCTGAGATTCATGAGATTGATCAAATCTACAAGGTCTACAAGGTAGACTAACATTTTATAGTTGATTGTATTTTACCTCTGAAGTTATTAACTCTTCTCCTTGTAATCCCTAAGTAAACAATCGGCTTTTATATCACAGCAGATCATTTCATCAATATATTATATTGTGTGTGCACAATATAATGCAAATTGTGTACACTAATATAATGTTTGTGTGTTATGCATGTTTGGATTTATATACAGTAAATGTTATATTACATTTAGAATCTGTGTGAGAGACTGCGATTGTGATTTCAAGGCAGATGTTGCTCAAATCTATGGCCATATTAACCCTGGTACAGAGGTAGCTATTTCAAAGCTCTTTGATTTCAATTTTTATACATAAGCCTGGGCAACACAGATCTTTGCATCTTAATTGTAATAAGACTGACATCATACCATTAGGTTCTGTGCCAATTGGTTATGTTGTCTTTGCATTGATTCTATTCTATTGTCTGTATTTGCTTTCTGTTCAGCTTTGTAAGTTTTGAAAAAAAGTGACATTTTTGGGGAATCTTTTTTTTTAAAAACCGCTGTATGACATTAATTGTTTGTATTTGTCATTTACAGCATATATAATTTACATAGTATAAATAATGAATAGAATTAATGGTAATATTGCATTTTGAGCATGCCTGAGCATTTGAGTAAATACACAAGGCATGTATTCAAGGCAGATGGCAATTAAAAAACACAATGTAGATTGTTTAATTCTTAATTTTTTAACATGTCCACATTCTTGTTCATCTGCTCTCTGAAGATGCTGGCAATTGAAAAGCAGTGGTGCAATATTAAGATACAATACTTTAAAAAACTCTCTGTGCTCTTTTGCTGTAGAAATGGGGTGCTGGACTGGAGCTCTCTGCCTGCTGCTGAGTTTCTGCCTGGGCTGCGCTGTGGCAGAACCAAACGAGCACTTCGCCACGGAGAAGGAGATCATCAACAACGTCGTGCAGGACCCACACACAGGACGCGTGTATCTGGGCGCAGTCAATGGGATCTACCAGTTAAACTCCGACCTCCGGAAAGAGAAGTACAGGGAAACGGGCCCAAAGGACGACAACCCTTCCTGTATCCCCCCCATCACAAGGGCGTGTGACGCCAAGCCCACAAACAACACCAACAAGCTGCTGCTGGTGCACGAGAGCAACAGCTCCCTGATAGTGTGCGGGAGTCTCTTCAGGGGGATCTGCTCCCTGCTGAACCTCTCCAACATCGAGGACGTGATTTACTACAGTGAGGACAAAGGGGAAAGGGCATTCGTGGTGAGCGCTGATGAGACGGTGTCAGTGGTGGGAGTGATGTCCACTCTGATGAAGGAGGAGGAAAACCTGACTGTCTTCTTAGTTGGGAAGAGCTA